GCTCCTATGATGCTGCTTGGCCTTCTCTTTTCTCACATCACCCCTGGTTTCCTTGCTTAAAAATCCAGATTTTTATGGAATTCAAATTCCACTATCTGCTGTGATAGGATTTGAGCTTGGTCCCCAGAATATTTCTTAAATCTTTAGAATATTAGTCTAGCAACAGCCCCACTAGACCATCGTCTCCCACCTTTTGTGAGTATCATGACTGAACAAGCCATAGATGAAAAAATCAGATTCTCAACATCTAAGAAAATCGCTCCCAAATTTTCCCTCAAGCCTTCCATGGTGATTGAGAATCTCTTTTATGAGTGGCAACTACCTTATTTTCATGTATTTGCCTTTCATTAAAGACCTAACTCACTATTTTTATGTCCCACTTCCAACTTATACCTTTTCCGAGAAATTAGCTGGCACAATTTCCCTACAGGTAAAATAGACTGGCAAATTGGCCACTGCAACTCTCTGGTAATCATACCACTGCTTCGTTACAACACAGTCCTGGATACTATTCTTCTGGTCTGTTCTTCCATTCAAGTCAGCATCAGCAAACCACCAATCTCATCACATCAAGCCTTAACCTCTTCAGCCCTTCAACACTTCACTTTGGAGCTAATGGACACCTATAAGTTGCTTGCTTCTGCCAGATCAGTTAATGCACAGGAAAAGCTACCCGTCTCATGTATCTGCACAGGATACTTTTGCACTGACATGGACAAAAGCATCCATGTCTCTTAATTTGCTTTCCCAGTGCTTACTTGCAGGCTTTGTCTTCAGCCTCTGTCTGGGTCAAATCAATTTATTAGTGCACAAGGTCTTCAGTTTACAATCACACATTGCCAGCTAAACTGTTTATCTTACCTTTTAACACAGAGGGAGAGACAGGCATCTTGTGATAATGGGGAGTACTGAACAGTCAATACATCAAATGGAAAGGGTATGGGAATAAGATCATAAGAAATAGGAGCAAAATTAGACTATTTGGCCCATCGGGTCTGCTCAAGCACTCGATCACGGCTGAAATGTTTCTCAACCCAATTCTCCTGCCTTCTCCCCATAATTTTTGATCCCCTTACTAGGCAAGGGGCACCTTACTAGGCACCTTTTCGAATCCCCCTTGACAAAAGTTCTACTACCTGCACCCACATTAATTTGAAAGTGCCCAATCACCCACATGCAGCGATCGTGAGCAGATAAAGCTTCCAATCCATGGATTTTCAAAGTATATGTGACCATCAACATCAAATATTGCCTCACAGTGCCAGGGACCTGGGTTCGATTCCACCCTTGGATAACTGTCTGTGTGGAGTTTGCACACTCTCCCTGTGTCTGCGTGGGTTTCCTCTGGATGCTCTGGTTTCCTCCCACTCAACCCAAAGATGTGCAGGTTAGGTGGATTGGCCATGCTAAATTGCCCCTAGTGTCCAGGGATGTGTGGGTTTGGTGGTTTGGCCATGGGAAATGCATGGTTACAGGGATAGGGTAGGGGATTCAGTCTGGGTTGGATGCTCTTCAGGGAGTCAATGGACTGAATAGTCTGCTTCCACACTCTCGGGATTCTATGATCTAAGTGAGATACTATCGGAGCTACCATGGCTCTTACATTCTAAAGCACCCACAGGTTTCTCACTCCTTCCAAAATTCTCAGTCCAAACAAGGCTTACTGAAGGTGTCAACAGGTAACACCTCCGAAAATTGATCAATAACACATTTATGAAACTTCAGACTGATGCAGAAGGAAGATACAACACAGCTTACACTTCAATAAAGGAATAGACCATAGGCTTGCTGGTGATGAGGAGGTTTTTAGGCCTGCATTGCTGCTGCAGGACCTTATATAGTCCAGAAAGTGTATCCCACATCATTGTGGTATGTTGCACACTTCACACCTGGAGCCAACAAAGTGGGCATGTCATGATGTAAATTAATTGGGGAATCAACAGCAATCTTCTGTGATTGAGGATCAGGACTTTCATCAGAGGAGGGCTGTCCAAGAGAGAATGATGGAACAACGTATCACAGAACTTGAAAGGCCAGGGATAACCTGTTGCCAGCTGCTGCCAAGATGAATGTGTTAGGTTTGGACTTTGTTTAACTATTTATGGTTATATTGCTAATCTGCTAAGCAGAGGTAGTTTGCAGTCCTTGACCTTTTGTATCACTGCATAAATGTCTTGTTATCATTGGGATTGGACACATGATATCTTCAGATAATCCTTCTAGAAAGAACCTACACATTACATCTACTACATAACTGGAGGTTTGCTGAGTGCCACTGATGCTTGCATAAAATAAGAGAGGAAATTAGTGTTAGAAGATGGACAAAAGATTGTCCAGATTAAACATTGGCAGTGGTGGTGATAGGACAGCAACAGAGCACAACTAATCTGGGTATATCTGCGCTTGGTGTCTTCCATTCCCCATGGGTGGCACTTCTCCAGCCAAATACCAGAACTTCCTCCTCCTAGGGAGTGAGGAAATGACTGCCTACTGAATCTTGAACCTGTCGGCCAGATTATGGGACAATTTTTCCAGCAAGGAGACAAAGGGAGGATTGAGTATGATGGAAGTGGATGCATGAACAGTTAGTGATGATGGTGAGATGTCCCCAGGGAGTAAGCAGAAAGTGCAGAGGGCATGAAGGGTTAGTACTTTTGGTGGACGAGGTGGCTAAGAGCCCTTGAATGGCCAGGAAAGATGCAAGAATAAGAGATGGTGAGATATGTGTGCAGTGGCAGAATCAAAATGAGAAGGTCCCATAACAGCGAGTTGTCAGAGAAAGGATGGAGATCATTGACCTCTTGCTGTGTTACTAGGTCTCCCTTTTAACTCGGGACATAGCACTGATTTATGCTGCAGTTTGAATGCAAGCTGACTGGATCTGGTGGCGTAGCCTCCCAAGGTAGTCTTCAGAAAATAATAGCACCCCTCCACCACTCTATAGCACTATCACCTCCATAACCCTGTGCTGGAAGCAGAAAGCTAACTTTCCTTTCTTCTGATACGTATTCAGGGTTAGAGCACTACAGTTTCAGAGATAGTTCCTGTCTTGCAGTGTCCAAAGTGGTATACAGCTGAACTTCAAATATGGTCCCAAAGACATCCAAGTCAGAATGGCCCAGCAGTGGTAAATACTTTTGAATTGCTCACCGTGAGATTCACTGAGAAATGTGCCCAATATCTAGGTTGCATAAAGAGTGTTGTGAAAAGCAGAAGTGCTGGATAGAGGCTGCTCACACAAAAAGACAGTAGCTGTGAACTGACATTACCCGAGCCCTAGGTGCTGGCTCAAGCCGGTTTGAGCTGATTCAGCTCCGAGAATAAAGTAAAGGGGAAATCCTTATTTGGTGGAAGAGTAATGAGGTAATCCTAAAGGTGTCCTTGGAGTGACCCTATAGTGGAAAGACACTGCTCTCAGATGAACTGAGAACCAACAGAAACAAGACATCACAGTTCAGGAAAATGAGGAAAGAGGATAAAATATGAAGGATTTTGGTGGGCAAAAACTCCAGAGAGCAACCTGCTCAAAGCTGTGAATCCCACATTTGGAAGTGTGGAGAAGACCCCAAGAGCTGGGAGGGAGAAAAACCTAGCCAGCGTGAGCTTCTGTTTTCGGGTATTAGCTTCTATTTTTGTTGACTGTCTGGGAACATCAAGCTCAATGGTTTGTGCACTTGGATTTTAATCTTGCATGAATTTCATGCCCGCTGTTAGCCTTTTCCTAACTTGGTGACGTGAACTGTGTGTCTGTTTTAGCTAAACTAGTAAAGGTAATGGCTAGTTGATACAGACTTGACTGTTGTCCTCTTTGTGCTGTAATTGTTGTCGAAGGCGGTAATCGGGCAACCAAAGGTTTTGTGAGGAAATGGAACCTGGGCCATGGCAGACTGACAACATGAAAATCACTTGCCAACATACATCAGCAACAAATGGGAAAATCTAGTCCCTGCCTATGTCAAAACAATTAGAACATTTCATCCTGCTCCTTGGAGTCATAACAATCTGTGGCTGCTTCAAAACTACATTTGTAGAGAATATGTTGAGGATTCTAAGAAAGTACTTTTCAAAACATGTCAATGCATTCGTTGAAATGTTGTGGTAGGGATTTGGTTCGGACCATTTTTCCTAAAGAAGAGAAGGTCGAGAGGAGACCTGATAGGAGTATTCAGAATCCTGAGAGGTTCAGGACAGAGTAACTAGGGGGAAATCATCCTACTCATGAAAGAATTGATAACAAGTTGCCCCAGATTTAAAGTTATTCGTAAAAGAAGTAAAAATAACAAACAACTTTTCATTCAGTAGGGTGGTAGCGTTGGATCAATCCAGGGATTGAAACTGCTATTTGAAAAGGAACAATGTACAGGGGTGTGGGGGGAAGACGGGAGATTGCCATGAAGCGAGCTACTCATTTGTAGAGCCAGTGCAGATGCGATGGAATTTTCTTTTTTCACTGCAACAATTCTCGGATTCTGTGAAATTTAACAACGCTTAAAGCATGCAAGCTTTCATGGACAGTTTACAGTCTGTCCCACACCTGAGGCCAAATGACAATAAAGTTACTCCACTCAAATAAGTTGTATTTCTTTCAAATGAACCGTTATTTCATTAACTGGATCCTTCATTTACTTTTTCTGCTTATGGTTTAATGAGATCCAAAATTCCACATACCAGCCAAAACAAACAATCCTCCACCTTGAAGGTACAAGGTGTCACGCCCTTGGAAAGCTTCGTAAACAATGAGTCCAAATCCAATTCCAACACTGAATACAGACAACACAATCAGCACACTCCATGAATGACGAAAACCTACAAAAACAAGTCAAAAATTAAATCTAACATCATAGATATCAAACAGAATGAATAAAGGCTACAAGTTACAAGTTAAGCAATGTAGTGAGTTATGTTCTGTTAACTGTGTGATATAATTAAATAAGATCACAATGATCTCCTGTATCATCCCACCATAACAATGAGCCTAGTTTTGCTACAGATAACAGGGAGCTAACAGAGTTTAATATTATTTGCATGTAAAATGGCAGCATCTTCTTTCATAGTTAATTGAAGAAGTTAGGACATTGCTGTCTGAGATGCCTTTTCTTCTAGAAGCTGAGCTTTAACATCTTTCTAAAATACACACCGAGTTACAAGAAACAGCATGAATTTGCTATACTCAAATGATATATACACCCACTAGACATGCCAACATGTCCATTCTCAGGTAAGTAAGCTCTTTAACATTCTATTAAGATTTCTTTAATGCCACACAACTTCTTTGGCACTGAAAATTAAGTGTAGAATTTTATTTTGTTCGGATCTAGATTATTGTTAAAGATTTTAAAGAAGTATATTCTTGTTTCCATCTCTTGTATTTTTCTTAAGAGAATCCTTTAATCCCTGTATTTTTCTGTATCTAATTTGACATTGAATTTAATTCGAAATAACACTGTACTGCCGATTAATAATTCTCTAATCTGATTGGTTAAAGAGGCACACAATAGCACCTTGTGTTCACACTTGTCCCAAATTCCCTGTAAGGTACAATGCTTCTTTGGCTTGGTGTATTTTCTTTTATTCATTCACAGGATGATTCACTGGCACATTCTTAATTGCCTAGAGGGCAGTTAGAGTCAACCACATTGCTGTGGGTCTGGAGTCAAGCCAGACAAGGTAAGGATGGCAATTTCCTTCCCTAAAAGGGCATTAGTGAACCAGATGGGAATTTCCTGACTATCAACAATGGTTTCATGTTCATCATTGGACTCTTAAGTCAAGAAATCCATCTGCCGTGGTGGGATTTGAACCCAGGTGCCAGACCATTGGTTGGGTCTTTGGATTTACAGTCAAGCAATAGTGCCATTAGGCTATCACCTCCCCACCTGCTTCTCATACAAGATCTCACAGGAGATCTCTGGGCTAATGCATAAGCAACAGTGCTATTTGCTCATCACTAACTGCTCATTTTTCTATATTTGGAGATATTGTATAAAAGTTTGATATCTCACCATGATAAGCATGACTAAGTGAGAAAAAATAAGCAACGTTTTCTGTGTTTAAGTACAGCAATATGTTGGTCGTTGAATTTTGCTACCCATGTTCAATTCTGGATCAAATTGAAAAGAGTTTCATTTTCTATTCCCTGTCTGTTGGAATGAAAAGAGAGCTCTGACCTCTCTTAAATGGGAGAATTAAATGTGCATCATTTAGGTTGATTCTATAAACTCATCACATACTCACAGCAGAATGCCCAACCTCTGAACTGTCTGCCACAAAATTTATTTGTTTGCTGCATTTAGGTTTCTGGTGGGGAATTCACAAATATGATGTCATTGAATGTCAATGGGAAATACATACTTTTGGAAATGGTCATTACCTGACACTTGTGGTTTAAACATTAAAGTGCTCGCATTGGTAGTGGTGGCTATTTGGTCCCAATGTCTTTACAAAGTTTCTTTTTCTCTTTACCCATTGTGGATATAAGAAGTCTCTCCTCTTGTCCAACTCATGTACCAAGGCCTCCAGTTCTACATCAGACAAGCTTGGAGCATGCTTGCTGTCCTCTGTAGTCACTTTTCTTACAGGTCAGATATAGAACCTCACTACCTCTCTCTTCAGAAAAGTCTGAAGCCAGCATACACATGCCTTTAGGTGGTTCTGTCTGGCTTTAGGTAATGCAGGTTAGCTTTAAGAGGTGATAGCCACATTTGAGTTTTGGCCCCTTGCTGAACCATGTAGCCATACAATAACATATTTGGTATTGAGCTACATTCATTGCAGTTAGCAAGTAGCGCAATGAAATAGGAGGGGGTCAATTCCACATCCATTTTTAGGGGCTATCAAATTTTGCAGATTAGATGGATTGCCATACTAAATTGCCCAGTGTCCAGGGATATGCAGGCTGGGTGGATTAGCCATGGGAAAATGCAGAGGTACAGGGGGTGGGTCTGGATGGGATGCTCTTCGGAGGGTCAGTGTGGACTTGACGGCCTGAATGGGGATTCTATGATTCTCTGACTACATCAGTAAAATCTCTATGTCAGTACTTGACCTAGTTAACTTCCAAGATGTAAATCATGATGATTTCATTTATGAAGTATTAATATTAATGATAGATTAATCTAGAAATCACTGTAAAAACCAATCCTAACTTTGACCACATGCATTACAATTAAGATGACATGAAATTGGGTGACTGGAGCAGAAGCAGTAAAATGTCTGAGGAAGGGTCACCGGACCAGAAATGTTAACTCTGATTTTAATTCACAGATGCTGCCAAATCTGTTAGGCTTGTCCAGCAACTTCTGCTTTTGTTTCTGATTTACAGCATCTGAAATGCTTTCATTTTTTATTCAGTAAAATGTCTTCCTGAAACAATAGAGATCGTAAGGAAGTGGCATTTTTTGTGTAGTGGTGATTTGTATGCTACACTACTACTGCAGATTCTCAAAGAATACATTTATAATGGAGTTTCTAAAGTTATTCAAGTTCAGGATAACAATTGCCTAGCAATAGTTCATATTCATTTTTAAGAGATTTCTGTGCAAATTATTTGGTGCTACTCGCATTACACATTTATAACAAATCTGTTGACAAATGCAGTTAAAGATAAGTACAAAGTTAAATATCTAAGCTGAAAGTGTGTGACAAGGATATATTTCACAACTCCAGAAGTTCTCAACCTTTCAGATCTGTTTTACCTGTATTTCAAGTTATTGCAGGGATCTTAAGAATGAGAGCTCATTAGATATGAAGAAACGGCATTAATCTCAAAAGTAGGCTGCAGCTGCCGAAAGCTATAAAAGCCATACAACCGTGTAAGTGTTAACTATAGTCAGCAACAGAAGAATAAAGGATTTGCACACAACAATAACACAACACATCACGAGAAAATGAATTTGTTGAATGCTTGTCAAAAGTGACAGCCACTTACTAAACACAAACCCATTTTTAGTTGTTCACACAACTGAGGTTTCTATACATAAGATTGTTACAGAGATAGTAGGAACTGCAGATGCTGGAGAATCTGAGATAACAAGGTGTAGAGCTGGATGAACACAGCAGGCCAAGCAGCATCAGAGGAGCAGAAAAGCTGACGTTTCGGGTCGAGACTTCTTCAGAAATGGAGGAGGGGAAGGGGATTCCGAAATAAATAGGAAGAGAGGGGGAGGCGGATAGAAGATGAATAAAGGAGAAGATAGGTGGAGAGGAGACAGACAGGTCAACCTTTCTATACATAATGCTGTATGTGCTGCCACTAACAGCTTCTAGGTATCCATACTTCCAGGGTCCACAGAATCTAGTATGAACAATGATAACCTCCTTCTGATCTAACTAAAAGAGTCCCTCATAGAAAACAGGATATAGTTCATTGGATCTCTACAGCTGTTACATGTTATAAAGATATGGGATACGTTATTACAGTCTCTCATAGGAGGTCCTGCTCCTGGCTTTGAATCTTCCACACAACTTACAGACTGTCTCACCAGTCCTCATGACATCATTGGTCGGTGCACTAAGTCAGAGCCTTTCAAACCCATACTCAATACAGACTACTTTCCAATCATAAGTAATATTGGCATTATGCACAGCTACAAAGTATCACTTTAAGTAACTAGTGGCAAAATTTAATCCAGGGTACGGGAGATTCATCCAGCAGCTGAACAGCCAGCCAGGCACTGTGGTGGCCAGTAGTCGGACTCACCTGGAATCAAGAATCCCCAGGGAAGAAATCCTGGAGACAGAGATCTGACAGCCAATGAGAGGCTGAGAGCTCCATATCTGCCATCATCACCACAAGGGGCAGTGGCAGTTTCCAGCACCAGAGGTCCAGGGTCAGCAAGTGACTTAGACCGCAGGTTAATGAAGTTTGAATGGGGTTTGTGAGCAGAGGGTTCCTGCCTAGAGAGTGTAGGGACTTGGAGAAAAGGGCAGTTGTTTTCAACACCCTCTCCCCCCTCCCACATTTCACATTGCCAGTTCATTCAGTCAGGCATTGATTGTCTTTGAACAAAGTTTGAACGAAGGGCACATCCGCGACTACAGACTCAATTGAGTTTGCTTTTCATACACTTCATCAGGCAATCAGCCCACCACTAGAGACGGCTGAGCAGTCCTCACCCTCCAAAAGGAAATTTGTAGATCGTAATGTACTAGTTGTACTGGATCTTCATTTTTAAGTATGCACGATGAGTCAAATAAGTATGTCTCATTTACCAGTTTTAGAGTCTTTTCCTTCTGGGCCAACAACCTTGCACTTTTTTAAGATATCCACAAATGTGAACTTGCCTCAGGAGTGGGCATTAAATTCCACCCAATGAGTGAAATATTTAGGTTGAAGTTGAACTCCATAAATTGAAATGATGCAGCAATTGAAAAGGGACAAAAAATGCTCAAAGTCAGACCTTCTAAGGACTTTTAAGCTGTTAAGTTCAACTGTCTAAATAAAATCACTCTTTGAGCTTCTGAGAAAAGAGAAACATTGATTCTGGCTCAGAAAATGCAATGCTTTTTGTTTAGATGCATATTGTATTTGTAGATTTTCAGTGTAATGTCACACAGACACCATTACACCAAGACAGGTCTGTATTGCATTAGATGTAGAATCACTTGAATAGAACATAAATCAACTGGGAAATCCAACATAACTTTTAGATGCAGCAATCTTGGCTCATTAACTTGGTTGAATTATTTTAGGAAGTACTGGGGCTTGTTGATAATTGTAGCCCAGTAGACTTGTGGCAGACGTCTGTCTCGTGTGATAATGATTTCCAACTTGATGATCAATTCTGAGTTAAGCATTGTTTGGTGTGACCCAGGGACCTCAAAACCACATGGCAGTCCCTGCAATATTTGCTGCAGAAGTCAGTGCACTGAGTAGGTACATGATTTGCTGGCCATTTGTTTTTTCTAGGCTCACTCGGCCAACTCAGCTTTCTATTTCATCTCACCTTTTCTAATATCCTTCCAAAAAGTCAGCCTTCAGAGGTCCGCAACTGTCTTCTAGTTGTCAATTTCTGCCATTTTCATATCTCGCTTGTGGGTCTTCTCGGAGTAGACATCTAGATATCCAGCAGATATTTTCTTGATATGATGAAAGTTTACTAACCTGAAACATTGACTCTGCTTCTATCTCTGCAAAGGTTTCCTGACCTGCTTAGGGTTTCCAGCACTTTCTGGGCCTTAATGGATGAGTTAGAAGAGGTGACTGGAAACTTGGTCAAATATAGTTGTCAAAAGGGATAGAATTTTGGGAATAGTTGAAATGATTGAATAATTTCTATCAGTGATGGTATCTGTTGTGTGCATCACCTGTACACTGCTTTGCAAAGATTCTTGAGTCTGCTGTTTGATTCCTGCTATGTCTGCAAATTCACAATACTGATAATTTTTTAGATATTAAAGGCATCAAAGGAGTATGGAGAAAAAGCAGAAATTTAGCATTGAGATAGAGGATCAGCCATGATCATATTGAATGTGGGAGCAGGCAAAATGGGTCAAACAGCCAAATGGAATAAGCAAACTTCAGAACCTCCGAGTCCCTGACGTTGTCCCACCAAGAGATGCTAAGAGTACATCAGAAATAGCAAATGGAAACTGTTCTGACATATATTGTCCAGGTCTCACTACTGTGGAGGATTACTCTGAGGTTGTAGAGTTTATAAATTCAGGTTGGTGTTCCAGATCTTTCCACTCTCTTACTTAGTTTTAGCATAGCAGCTGCAGCTTTTGCAATGTTTGCGTTAATTTCAGTAGTAGAATCTTGGGGTCTGTATAACCTATATATGTGAAACTGCCACCAATCTCCAATATTGGTAGATGTCATTATGGCAACATCCTGGACCATTTCTTTTGTCTTCCTAATGCTGATGGCTAAATCAGATTCTTTCCAAGTGTAAGGGTTGGTCCATTTGCCACTAAAGGTGTTCTGCAATGTAGAATTCTAATAAGCATCATCAGATGGAGCACCTCTCTATTGAGGACTTGTCATCTATTGTTTTGAATCTCAGGCATACAAGGTTGAACTGTCTTCCATCAGTTCTGCTGTGTAAGTTGAAACCTTTTGTAGATGAACTGAAGGCGTAGGACAGCAGCAAAAAGAACAATATGCCACAGAGTGTTGGCACTGAAACATAATCCACTTCAACCCCACTGCTGATCTTAAAAGGTTGTAATGTGGCCCCATCATAGTTGACTTTACCCATAAGATAGTTATGGAAAGAGGAGGAGATCAGTTGAGCAGATTTGCAGGGCAGCCAATTTTCTCCAACAGCTTAAAAGACATTGGGTGGAATCCTACAATGGTCTGAGCAATGTGGGTTAAATAAATCCAAACTGATTGTCTTTTTTTACATTTTGGTGCAATAGGGCACTTACCTGATGTCCTACAACATGCATTTCATTGTACTTTTGTAAGTTCACTTTACCTAGCATATTGAATGTTTGTCCAAACAAAATTTCACATTTCTGAGACAATCAAGCAGTTCTACATTGATATCAATATACAGATGCAAACCGATTTTGGCTACAATGTATTAACTAATATTATGCTTACCAGCAGCAGACTCATAAGCTGAGCTGTTAAGGTTCAGTCTTGTTGGAAATGGGAGATGGTAAGCTTCAATACAGCTTTTTGAAGGAGCATGTTCAACTAAATACAGAAGATGAAAGACATGAGCTGCATTAATTCAAACCAATATATTATTTTTAATACAAATATATGAAATAGGAACAGAAGTGGACCAGCACACACTGCCATTCAAAAAGATCATAATTAACCTGGTTGTGTTTCAAATTTTACATTCCCATCAACGCCAATAACCTTTGATTTCCCAGTTAAAAGTCACACAACACTCAGAAAAAAATGTTCCTCATCTTGGTCCTAAAATGATGATACTTAATTTTAAAACAGCGCTCATTTGTTCTAGGCCTACCCACAAAAGGAAATATCCTTTCCACATTCATTTTTTCAAGACAATTCAAATTCTTACACACTTCAATCAAGTCACATTTTACTCTTCTAAACTCCTGTAGAAGCCATAAAACCAAGTAAAGTAGGGGAAGAGTAGATCATTCAATCCATCGAAGCTGCTCCACCATTCAATTAATTCATAGTTGATCTGATAATCCTCAGCTCCATACTCCTGCATTTTCCCTACAACCTTTGATTTCCTTACTGATCAAAAATCTATTTCAGAATATAATTAACAAAATAGTCTCAACAGTCCTATGTGGTAAAGAATTCCACAGATAGACTACGTTCCAAGAGGGAAAGATTTCTCCTCATCTCTGTTTCGAATGGGCACCCACTTACTCTGAGATTAGGCCCTCTGGTCTTCGATACTCTCATGAAGGAAAAAAACTTCTCTGCGTTGACCCTTTCAATAATGTCTCCTCTCATTCTTCTAAATTCCAATGAGTACAAGCCAACAGTCTCAACCTCTCCTGGTAAGAAAATCTCTCCATTGTAGAGATTCTATTATTCTTTGATTTTATGATTCTTAGGGTGATCTGATTGTGAGCTCAAAACCACATTCCCACATGCCCCTATAACCTCTCAAACCCTGGGTTAACAAGGATCCATGCACTTCTGCTTTAACATTTTGAAGAACTCTGTTTCCACCATTTCTTCAGGAAGCGAATTCCAAAGATATTATGATCAAGGGTTTTCAAAGTACTTTACAGCTAATGAAGTAGTTGTGAGGTGTAGTTACTGTTGTAATGTGGTTGGGATAATTTGCTGTTATGAATCTCCTTTCCATGATAAGTCCAAAGACTGGTCTAATTATCCATGGTAGAGGGTAAATCACTATAGATTCTGAGCAACAGCAGAAACTTACCTAGCAAGGTATATTTTATTGCATGATATCAAAAAATACAATTAAGATTAACTAGTTTGGCACAATTACAAATTCTGGGAGCCAGGTATATCATGATGCTTCCATTGGTACCTCATGCAAGACTAATTGATTCTTCACTCAAAGACGTTGCTACATCATCAGGGCTTTGATAATACAAATGCAACAATGACGCTTTCACACTGTCACCATTATACAATACATTACCTTCTACAATACAGCCTCTCAAAACATAAGAAAACAGAGAAGCAGATAATCTGCTTCAGAAATATTCGTTGAAGAATAAATGTTAGACAGGCTATTAGGACACCTCTTTTATATCCTGCTGAGGGGGAAGAAGTGGCCTCAGTGAAATAACCGAACTGTAGACTAGCACCTTCTCAATTGTGGCACTCCGTCGTTGCTCCACTGAAGTGCATCAGCCTGGAATGTGCACTCAGTTCCTCAGTGTGACTGAACTCACAATTTTTTGACCTGAATGTCAAAACGTATGCTTGCTATCAAGGTTGGCACCAATGGTGGGCAATTTGCTCTGCTACAAATGAGACTAAAATTGTATCTGAAAGCGAGAAAATAATTTGAACAGGAAAACTTCAATCAAATAGATTATAGGCATTTTACAACACCAGTGAAAAGTAAAACTGTTTACAGAAGCGTAAGAGAAGGGGAGTGTCAAGAGAAGACAAGGGAAGATTAGAGCTGGGCCTAAAGTGAAATAGAACAAGAATTCTAATGGAAAATTGATTCACAGTCATCTATTTTACATCATTGTATCAATTTAAAATTATGCTCAGTGTGTTCCTTGTTCTAACTCTTTTTCTTTAAAGCATGCCAAATGTAGCACAAGCTGCACACTTTAATCATTCTCAACATTATTCTGAACTCAAACTGATGGTGTCCATTGGAATATTTTACCATCAAATTAAAATTCAGCAGGTTGTCAAATCTGATGAGGTCAGCCGCCCAGTTGAATCCTCCGGGCAGATTGTGCACACCCCACCCTTTATCCCTTAATGGTTTCATGCTCTCTTGAACTCTTGGGACAGTGTGGTGGCCCAGTGGTCAGCACTGCTGCCTCACAGTGCCCGGGACCCCGGTTCAATTCCAGCCCTGGGTGACTGTCTGTGTGGAGTTTGCACATTCTCCCTGTGTCTGTGTGGGTTTCTGCTGGTTGCTCCGGTATCTTTCCACAGACCAAAGATGTGCAGGTTAGGTGGATGGGCCATACTATAGTTTGAGGGATGTGTAGGTTTTGTGGATTAGCCATGATAGGAATAGGATAAGAGGCTGGGTTTGGGTGGGATGCTGTTCAGACTGCTGGTGTGGACTAAACTGAATGGTCTACATCCACACTGTAGGGATTCTATTCTAAATTCTCATCCATGAAGCACAGCCCACAGGATCAATATCACAAATCAAAGAAATTCTTTTTATCCTGACTTCACTCAATCTAGAATTGATGAAGGCTTACTGCTTAAGAAAGAGTAGGAAAGAGGCATGAATGGAATTTCAAAATATATTTTATTTTAAACTCCCAGACTAAATCAGAAATGTGGCTAAGATTTATTCCTCAACTTATATTTCTGAAGCAGGTTATAGGTTATTTGTTTTCTTACATTTTGTGAGGCTGTGTTGTATGAAGTAATGGCTCTGAAAGAGTTAAGGTTGGATTTGTATTAACTCCACCTAAGCTGATGATACAGCAAGGTCTTTGGGTGAAGAATCAATTAGTCTTGCATGAGGTACCAATGGAAGCAGCCATGACATATCAGGCTCCCAGTGTTTGTAATTATACCTAACTAGTTAATGTTAATTGTATATATTGATTTCATGTAATAAAATAAAGCTTGTTAGGTAAGTTCCTGCTGTGTTCAGAATCTATATTGGTTTACACTCTAACATGGATAATTAGATGAGCCTTTGGACTTATTATGGAGAGGAGATTCATAACAGAAAATTATCCCAACCACAGCCACCAGTGTTTGAATCCCAAAGCCCAAAAGACAGACTGTTATCGGAGTATGTGGGAATGCAGTTTTGAGCTTATAATCAGATCAGCTTTATTGTGCTATTTCCGATTTCGCAAGCCATCCATATCTCAACACCATCTGTAAAATGAGTAAACCATAACTAATGCTTTACATGCATCACTTCTGCTTAGTTGGAAAAATCCCAAATTTGGAATATGTTGCAATGTCAAATTATAATGTGTAAAATTAAAATTATAATAAATTTAAACGAATGATGTGGAGCTACAAATAAATAATTAGAACAAACGATAATCTTTTTTGAAAAACATGAAATTGGTCAAACACAAACATTCACCAATTCAATAATGTCAAAGCTCCCACATACTTTGCATTGAAAATGCCTAGAAATTACTGCAGGTGATATGAGAGGACAAATACTTTCTGCATTTAAATGATACTATTTTCACAGGTCCACCTACTCATCTAGAGTGAGCCGGTTATTGTCAAATGGATGGTTGAAGTGTGCCCTGCTGAAAATTCAAAATTCCCAATAGACATCAATTTTCTTCAGAAAACTACATAAACAGTGGTTTAAAATTAAGTAACTAGAAGAATTAAGGATGATATTACATTTTTAAAAGTCTGAGGTTCAGCAAAGGATGACCAATAAATTAATAAGCAAATTACAATAATTCTTCAACTGCATTAAAAAGAAAATGATTGATCAATGTTTAAAAAGTAAAATTAATTCTAAGTTAAGTAGCCAAATATGCAATAGAAAAAGATCTCAACCTGATTACATGGGACAGCTCCCTTGCTTTTATGTGGTGAACTTGTGCCCTCTGGAAGTTGCAGAGTAAATCACATCTAATTAATTACTTTTAAGTTCAGACAGTTACTGTGTTGGTAAAAACCAGAATGAATTCTTTAAAGGAGCATATAAATAATTCTGTTATTATAAAGAAGTGGGATAAATTGCTTTAGAAAAAGTAGATACGCTTTAAACCCACAGAAGAGGCTGAATGAATTTATAACTTTACAAGAAAGCAGCCATGCGTAGCTTATTGTTAATATTAATATCTTGTGAAGGTTCTGTATTTCAAATGTTCTGCACTTTGCAGTCTGTAAGAAACTCTTTAAGTCCAATGTATACTAAAACAGTCAGCTCACTCACAAAACACGTATGTTGAAAAACTGTCCTCAACATTCCGTACATCCATTGTACAACTCCAGAAGAAACCTTCATAGTGAAACGTCTTTCCAGATGCCTGAGGAGAAACAACTGCAATTTTATTTAAGATAATAAAAACCATTTTTCATCTCTTGAATTGAAATGAAAAGTCTCAAAGGTTAAAGTACATCCATAATTGAATAGAAACACTATTTTTAAAAAGTTTCATATTTTTAGCAACACAGTAAAGTTATCAAGCATTGTAAAGGTCGAGTATGTCACAGGCTGAGAAAAAGGCAAATTCCCTGTCTTTTTCACAATAGTATGCCTTAATCACCAACCCACAGACAAAAAATGCAGGAGTGGAAACTTTTGCAATTACATCATCTCTCAAGTGAATCCAATTACTAATTTGTTTCATGAACACATGCAAGAATGAAGACTAGGTTAACACTAACAAACTTATTTCTTATATATTTCTTACATTCAGCTGAAGAACAGGATTCTGTGAAATTTAAGTCAAATGGTTGCAGGTTGAATTTTACCAGCTCTCTCTCCAGTAGGTCTGTGAAGGAGAGGGGACATTGTAATAAGGCAGCTGAAGGTGTTAGAAAGGGAGTCTACCATCTTCCCCACAATCTCAGGATATTCTCAGGGGTGGAAGGCACTGTGACACAGTCATCTGTTGACTGGAAGTGGGAGCCCAATTTAAGTGACCAATTAAAAGCTATTTCCCATACTGACCAGATTTTCCCTGGTTGATTCCCTCTGTGGGAGTAGTCTCCTTTATGGCTGCCCAATGGCCCAGGGAGAGCTTGCCACCCGCACTGGCCCCATAGGTAATAGCCAGCACAGCAACTGAGGGTGCCTGGAAGAGGTAGTGCCGATCTGATTATGGGGTCACCAGCACTGTAAGTAAAAGAAAAAAACCTTGCCTGCAAGGGTTCCTCAGCCTGGAAGTGCCCTGTCATTCTTCTTGCCATCTTAGAAGATGTCACCTCTAATAGTGGTGATCCTATTGTTGCTGAACTGTCAAGCTGTGGCAGCAACCTCTTAGTTAGTTGCCAACCAGTCAAATATCACCCCATAAACCCATTCACCTATGGGAGATTGAGACCTGCTTTTAGTCCAAGCAGTGGGCCACCTACCTTTTGATCAAATTCCATCCATTGTGTCTGAGTAGAATTGTAAAGCTTAATTAATACACGGTTGAATTTAATCATAAAACTCGATTGTTTGATCGTCAAGATTTCTGGAGTAGATTTTTTAAACAGCAATAGAATGAGTCCAGGAAGGAAGCAGGCCTTTCAGTCCATCATGTCTGCTGTACGATGAATCCTTCCCACAGTCATGTTAGGGAAAGGTACACCAGGTAGATTTGCTCCTTGAGGTCAAAAGGGCTTAACTTGTGTGGTTTAATGTGGTACAGAAAACCACTTAGTATTTCAAAGAGTAGATCTTGTTTGAAGCAAAATGTGGCTTATTGCATTTAAGCAATCAGGTGTACCCCAGAACTTTGTAGGAAGCTAGGGAAGTGATTGCTGGGCCCCTTGCTGAGATATTTGTATCATCAATAGCAATGGGTGAGGTGCTGGAAGACAGGAGGTTGGCTAATGTGGTACCAATATTTAATGAAGGTGGTAAGGAAAAGCAAGAGAACTATAGATTAGTCAGCCTGATGTCAGTGGTGGACAAGTTATTGGAGGGGATTCTGAGGGACAGGATTTACATGTATTTGGAAAGGCAAGGACTGATTAGGGATAGTCAACATGACTTTGTACGAGGAAAATCATGTCTCACTAACTTGATTGAATGTTTTAAAGAAGCAACAAAGAAGATTGATGAAGGCAGAGTGGTGGACGTTGTCTATACGGACTTCAGCAAGGCGTTTGACAAGGTTCCGCATGGTAGATTAGTTAGTAAGTTTAGATCACATGTAATACAGGGAGAGCTAGCCATTTTGATACAAAATTGGCTTGAAGGTAGGAGACAGAGGGTGTTGGTGGAGAGTTGCTTTTCAGACTTGAAGCCTGTGACCAGCGGTATGCCTCAAGGATTGGTGATGGGTCCACTGTTTTTTGTCATTTATATAAATGATTTGGATGTGAATATAGGAAGAATAGTGAGTAAGTTTGCAGATGACATCAAAATTGTGGTGTAGTGGACAGTTGAAAAGGTTGTCTCAGAGCACAAAGGGACCTTGATCAGATCAGCCAATGGGCTGAAGAGTGGCAGATGGAGTTTAATTTTGATAAATATGAGGTGTTGCATTTTGATAAGGCAAATTAGGGCAGGACTTATACCATTAATTGTAAGGTCTTGAGGAGTTTTGCCAAATAAAGAGACCTTGGAGTGCAGGTTCATACTTTCTTGAAAGTGGAGTCACTAGTAGATAGGATAGTGAAGAAAGCATTTGGTACATGTGCCTTTATTGGTCAGTGCATTGAGTATAGGAGTTAGGAAGTCATGTTGAGGCTGTACAGGACGTTGGTTAGGCCACTTTTGAAACACTGCATTCAATTCTGATCTCCCTTACTATAGGAAAGATGTTGTGAAACTTGCAAGGGTTCAGAAAAGATTTATAAGGATGTTGCCGGTGTTGCAGGGTTTGAGCTATAGGGAGAGGCTGATCAGAGTCTAAGGGGTGACATTATTGAGATTTATAAAATCCTGAGGGACATGAATAGGGTGAATAACCAAAAAGTCTTTTTCCCAGGGTCAGAGAGTCCAAAACTAGAGGACATCGGTTTAAGGTGAGAGGGGAAAGATTTAAAAGGTACCTAGGAGCAACATTTTATTAAGAATGAGTTGCCAGAGGAGGTGGTGGAGGCTTGTAAAATTACAACATTTAAAAGGCATCTGGATCAGTATGTGAATAGGAAGAGTTTGGAGAAATATGGGCCAAATGCTGGAAAATGGGACTCGATCAGCTTAGATATCTTGTCAGCCTGAATGAGTTGGACCAAAGAGTCCATTTCAGTGCTGTACATCCCTATGACTCTGTATGAATTACATCTCTATGATAGACATTATTCCCCTCATGTTAGGCATGACTTCTGCAAGATCAAAATCTCTTGTCCTGCCTGAGTCAATGCGACATCATTATACTGAGATAATGCATTCCTCAGTATTAATCCTTTCAGACCCTAATATAAAATCTCTCTCCAAGCTTTTTTCATAATCAATGTTTATGCATTTGTGCTCATAATTATATGTACCACCACTCCATCTCCCCCTCTGATTCTTTGACTTCACAAATTCAGCTGGTCTGGAGATTTTACTACTCTATCAGAACATGCTACCTTTGGACTAAGAAGATAGGTCTCTGAGTTGAACATTATCAACTTTGACAATTCTCTTGATAGTGTGAGGGCAGTTAGTCCCTTTAACCTGGACAGCATTTTATTTCTTAGATTTCCTTCAGTGAGGATGTATTTCCTTCTAAAATAGGGAATTACTACATTGTAACTTCTGGAGGACCTTTAATCTCAATCATTTCCATTGCAGAAGATGACTGTTCTGTTTGAACAGGCCTTTTCTTTTTTACAATATCCTGGATACCTGGACCATGCAATTTGTTTTTGACATAAAATATGAAGAACTGTGGATGCTGGAAATCTGAAACAAAACCAGAGTGCTGGAGAACACACACAGATCTGGCAGCATCTTTAGAGAGAAAATAGGATTAATGTTTCATGTCTAATGACTCTTGGTCAGAACTGAAGGCTTTCCTGAAGAAGGGTCACTGGACTTGAAATGTAAATCCTGCTTTCTCTCTCCATGTGCTGCCGAACCTTTTATATTTCTCCAGCACTTTCTGAATTTGCTTTTGACCGTACCCGGAATCTGTGGATCTTGATCATCCCATCTCAGTAGTGGACTCCATAGAGTTTGATATGCACCAAAATGTCAATGTATGTAAGCTGATTTTCATTCTCAATCTGCCAGAAAATTAGTGCTGAAGTGTGTAGACTGTTTAAACTGTTCATTCTGTTGGAGATTTTCATTTTACCTTTGTGATTGTATCATTGGTAAAATTAGAATATTCGCTCTATCATTTGTACTACCTGAGCTTTGATCTGTTCACCAGTTGTATCTCACTCTGAATTACATCAGTTGGAACATTTAGTGCGTTAGCTCTTGTAAGCTTTGCTGATTCTTGCTGTCTGAGCCACTTGCAGCCTTGATAGGAGTGGAAAATATTTCTATCAACCCTGTCTAGTAAATGGTTTGCATTCTGCTGTCAGCATGAAATAATTCTCTTCCGCCAACATAGCTAATTTTAGTGGATATTGTCTTCTGTTTGGATTCTGTCATGTGTGTAGGAAGCCCAATGAAATCCTCAAATAAAAGCAAAATATTGCTTACACTAGGAATCTGAAATAAAAGCGGAAAGTGCTGGAGAAAGTCAGCAGGTCTGGCAGCAACCATGGGGAGAGAAAAAGAGTTAATGTTTCAAGGCTAGTATGACTCTTCTTTTGAAATCTTCCTCTGGTTATCCATTAAACAAAATTTCTTTGACCTGTTCTCCATGACAGGCCATTCGCAGTTATGCTATGAACTTGAATGGCCATGGGATAAATGGTTATTCCTTGACCAGTTGTTCCTTGACATTAAATAGTTTAACTCCTGCAGTCATTTGAAAAAAAATTGAGGTCAAATCACATACACATGCTCAAGAATGAGAATTCTTGATTGTCAAGCATATGTGCAATAGTCTGACCTGTATGTATTTCACTTACTTTTCCATGCTGTAACTCTGGTGACTTTTTAAACTTTTTTTTTCCCTTGCCCATCAAAGATGTCAACTTTACTCACTGAGCCTTTGACACCCGTTTGACTTCTGACTAAACCTCAACCTGGAATGAGTCTTTTTCGCCACCTGATGCAGTCTGTAACTGGCAAGTGAGGCGAGTGCACCAGGTCCATGTGGCTTCTAGCTCACATTTGCTTCTACATATCTCTTCCTATGTGTGATGATAGGTGTATAGTACATATTATATTCTGAGACTTGAATTTTGGACTAGAGGCAGTATCTAAGGTTTTGGAGTAAATTTGTAGCTCAGGTTGTGGGTGTTGAGGTTGGTTGGCTCGCCGAGCTGGTTTGTTGTTCGCAGACGTTTCGTTACCGTGCTGGGTAACATCCTCAGTGCAGCCTCCAATGAAACGTCAGTGTGTTTTCCTGCCTGGTTTTTAAACTCTGGAGTCCGTTGAGCTGGATTGCCTCACTTCCGGTTTTCCCTCGTAGTGGAGTGTAAATGGGGTTGAGTTCTATGTGTTTATTAATGGCTTTCTTCGTGGCGTGCCAGGCTTCTAGGAATTCCCGTGCCTGTAGAGGCAGTATTTCAGTCACCTCCACTGTTGGAATGTAATTACTTCCAGAAACAGAGATGTGTTGGGTTTTCATCTTCTCCAGAATGTGTTTTAGTATCACAGGTATATTTACCATTGTATAAAGTAGAGGGAAAATATTCCTGAAATACCATACTTATGTATGTTTTAATTAATTGCAAGACATTTACAATAAAATACGCCAGAATATGACAACTTTTTACAATGCTAATTCGTTCTTACTTTGTTGAATAGGTTGTAGGATCCCGGAAAATGTTTGATTTTTTTCATCGTTTCAGCAATACTCCGTCTCTGAATGTGTCCTTTAGGTGGTCCATCATGCTCACTTCGATTACGTGGCTGGTAATTTATTTGCTTCAGTATTGGAGTTGGCTGCAGTTTTAGTGCAATTTGAACTCTCTGGAAAAAAAAGGATTAAAATTGATTGCTGTATAATAAAAAACCATAGTGAAAACTAATAATGTCACTAAGTAATTTGTACAATCTATTACATTCCCACAATATTTAAAAGAAATAAATATTCAAGCTGCAACTATTACAGTTTGTTAGAAAGTTTAAAATTAAACATTTCCAAATACATGGGCAAAGAGTTTTCTGTTTAGATGCTGAAATGCCACAACCTCAGATAATCAACCAAATCATTCATTAAAAAATATAATGTCCTGTTCTCATGTAAGTTTACAAGATCTAGCTGCTTAATAAAAGAGATAGTTGACAAGAGTTAGTGTAGTGTCCATCATCCAGAAGATTTGCAAATATGTGTAAAAAAGACATATTTGTTTCTGTCAAAATAAGGCTAGAAGCTTTGCACTATACCAAATAGATAGCAAAACATTCAATACATTAGCTCATTCTTCTTGCCCTGTCACAACTAGACTAAAGTAGTATGCTCTTCCTTCAGGGCTCAGGGGATGTCCCTTTGGCCTCAATCTACCCAAATGGGTCCATCTTCCAGGAAGAGAAAAGCTTCTTGGAATGGAAAATTACATCCAGCATTTTATATTCTGCTATGTCATCCACTAAATTAACAGGAAATGTTAGCAAAGGCACAGGTATTCCAGAATACTAGGTAGATGGTATGATCTGAGTTCACTGAGTGAAGCACATGGCAAAGGACAACAGAAGCTCATGGTGGTGGCAAAGATTAGGCATGACATTTTGAGTTTTATACCTAATTAATTTGTGTCCTCAGTTATACAACCTTGCAATACCGCTTAGTTTAGCCCATAATTAAGAAAGAAATGTCTGATCACCAGCATTTTTGTGGTCATTATATCACCTTGCAAGATATATTGCAGCAAAGTCCACTAACTGCACCTGGTTAAACAAAGAACCTCTTTTGTAATAACAGGATTCCACACACAGTAACAAGATCTATGCTTGGGTAATGCTTTGGCAAGGTCGGTCGAGAGATAAATATTGATCAGAATATTAAGATACACTCCCCCTGTCCATTCTTGCACACACACTCATCTCTAAATGGTGCCTGAGGACCTTTTATATCCAACTGAAAGAATGGATGGATATCAATTTGGCATTTCACCTGAAACGCATCATTTCCAGCTTCAGTGAAGTGTCAGCCTAGATTGTACTGTAAAGACACTGGGATGTTACAACAAATTGTGTCCAGGAGTCAGGTGAATGCTTTTAGTTGAATGCTTCACCCCTCTTGCTATAACTCTTTACTACAGAATGTTTTCATATATCGCACTACATAATTCAAAAAATTAACAATGCCTATACAAGACAACAAGTCATGCAGTAACAACGATTTGTTGACTAAAGGCATAAAGTAAGCTTAAATATTGATTATGCAAATAGACATAATTCTTCTAGTAAGGATCACTTAGCAATTTGAGCAAATAGTTAATAGAGAGTGTTTAAATTGATTAACAGAGTTAGTAAAAGCACTCAGTGTATCACTATAGCTTACCATTAACTGAATCAGTAAATTATTTTTGTGATCAGCATCTGACATAACTGCAAATTAGATTTGTTGTTCTTAAATCTCTAGAAAATTGCCAAGTTAATAGCAGTGAGTGTGTATCCATTGAATAGACTTGATGTACTGGTGGATAAAAATGTCTCTAGAATTTATGAACCTTTGTGTTTAAGAATAATATAACTTGTTTGTGTAGGATGACAACATGTGCTTCTGAAAAATGAAGTCAAAGTACTCTTTTGGTATTTTCTGCTTTAATTGGACCTTCAGACCTAGTAGAACCAATCATTTACACAAGTGAATGTGTCAGGTATAGCTTCCTTAACGCTCACCATTCTCGATCATTGGCAACATTTACAATCAAAAAGTACATGTCACTCTCTCTGCCTGTACCCAGCTGATGTAACCATAAAGTTTGACATTTATAATCTCTTGCTCTCTGTCCTGAATCTACACATCCTTAAGGTGTATATTGACAAGAAAAAGAGTACCACAAAAAACGTAAAGAAAACAAAGAGATTCTTCTTCCATCTTTCAAGAGAAACTATATCTAAGATCATGGAAATCTAGGAGAATTTAAATGCAATATCTTCTCAGCCTCTGAACAATGTGGACTATAGCAAGAAATGTTGGAAAATTGGGTGAGACATTGAATCATAGAATCCCTACAGTGTAGAAGCAGGCCATTTGGCCCACAACACCCCTTTGAAGAGAATCCCATGGCTAATCCACCTAACCTTCATATCCCTGAAGACTATGGGTAATTTAGCATGGCCGATCCACCTAACCTGGACATTTTTGGACTGTGGGAGGAAATCAGAGCACCAGAGGAAACCCAAGCAGATGCACGGACAATGTGCAAACTCCACACAGTCACCTGAGGTTGGAATTGAACTAGGGGTCCCTGCACTGTGAGACAGCAGTGCTAACCACTGAGCCACCGTGCTGCATTTTTAAAGAATGCCTTCTCGACGTTGAGACAAAAAGTTACATTTTCCAACCAAGTTCTGTACATCGAGATGAGTTTCCAGCTAATGTGTGGTGAGAGGCCTGTTTGCATTGATTATCACGCATTTTAATCCTCATTTATACCTAATCTCGCCCAGTTGATATGCAGTCTCCCATTTTCCCACACTCCAGACACAGACCAGCAACTGCAAATTCCTGACCTGAGAGTCAGAGCAGGTACCTTGTGACTGCAGCTCACCACTTGCTCCTCTGTATCGCTATTATGTACACTCAGCACCAGCATCTCAGGGTATGACCCACAGGCAACAACAACATGCGCACCACGACCACAGACATTGGCATCCTATGTCTACCAACCTCACAACATCACCATGGCACATCTTCAACCCATTTACAATACGTTCTACACAGTAGAACGTGCCTGCGCCTTTCATTGCATTACTGCTGCAAGGACACTATAAGTTCGGGGGCAGGCACTCAGCTCATGGACTGACCCAGGGAGCATCTCTAAGCTGAAGAAGGATATTTGGACCTGAAATGTTAACTCTGTTTCCAGATAACAGAGGCTGCCAGACTTGCTGAGTTTCTCCAGCAATTCATGTTTTTGTTTCAGCATCCCGAGGTTGCTCGCTCACTATATTAGCTTGGTTACTCACAGCATCCCTGCCTTGCTTTGCGTTTTAATGCTTTGCAATGTCAGCCAGACCTTAAAGGCTCACGCAGTACTTCTCTCTTGCCTTGTTGTTTAATGCAGATACAGAGCTAGGCAGTTTGTCATGGTTGTGAGCAAAGTCAGTCAAAGTCAGCAGTCATCAGCTAATGAGTGACCATGTTGCTGTTCAGCACAATGCTACGTCAATCTCACAGGTACAACACAAGCCAGCAGCCTCACACAACAAACACTCTGCATCTGTATCAACCAGATAGCCATGCTGCAAAGACTAAGGGGAGTAGTCCTCAGTCAAATCAAGGAAGGATACCATCACTCAGGGGGTCCTCGTAGACCCAGTCAAGTGCAGCATCCATTCTCAGTCCAGCAGTTCTGACACAGTCACTCAGCTTGGAGTAGTCAGAGTCAGAGAGTCCATCTCACTACCATTGAGGGAATGGGCCATGGTCAATTCTACAGGGCCAGTGCAAGCGCTCAGGAGATTCAGAGATCACCAGTCAGGGATCTGCACAGACAGCAGTCAGGGATCTGGTCAGTCATCAGTCAGGGTAAGTCAGTCAGGAAGGTGGGCCATGGTCATTCCTAGGTGTGGCAGAAAGAACATTGGTGACTGATGGGGTGGTGGTTGTTGGTACCAAGGGGACACTATTGTGGTATGCCACTGAGTTTGGAAGCAGCAACCTGAGATGCAGAGAAGTCAATGATGGGAAAAGGGAGAAATCCAACACAAAAGGAGGGGAACCGATATTGAACATAAGGCCAAATAGACCATAAGATATAGGAGCAGAACTAGGTCATTATGTCAGCCCGGGCAGCAGGATTTTACAACATAGCTGATTTCCCCAGCGGCAGGTCACAATGTATTATACCCACATCGTGATGAGAGGCCCATTTCATAACACAGCAGACTGCAAAAATAGGACAGGGTCCCATTCCATCGACATGTGCATGATCTCTGATCATCAGTACAGTACCAATTCTTTGAAGTTTGTGCCCAGCACCCTAGGAATTGCCATGATGCATATATCCTTGAGAGCCCTCACATTCCTACTACGTTAGAGGGGACAGGTGCTTTACAAGGATGGTTACTGAGGAGTAGGGCCATCTCTACGGCCATTGCACAGCCCTCTGACTGAGGTGGAGCATGGACACAATGCTGCCCATTCTTTGGCCGGATCAGGGTGGAACAGACAATATGCTACCTGAAGGTGAGTTTCCATTAGTGGGGAGAGCCTAACGTACATTCTGGATAGAGTATGCTACCTAATCCTAGCATTCTGTGCTCTGCACAAACTGCAACATGCAAAGAGGGAACGTGATGCAGGTTGATGAGCTCAGAGAGTGAAGAGCAGGAGGAACATCATCTTCAATATGATAGAGTGCAAGAGCTTTAAGTGCTACAAGCCAGACAGGCTTTAATTGACATCCGTTTGCAGTAGATAAGAGTTGGGTGCAGTGATCACTCATTGACTGTAAAATTGTTGGTGTTCACCATGCAAACAGTACTTTTCCATTCCCAGAGACAAAGGCAGCTTTTGTTTCTTTTGAGTTCTACTTGAGTTTTGTATTGGTGATAAAGATGAATGTTCTGAACTGTTTGAAAGTTTCCCTGTAGGTGATATGCGGCTACATTGAACAATCATAAGATGCTGGGCTACGGTGGCCATTGGGAAAATTAGAGACGGTTGTAAAATAGGATGTGGCTAAGAACAGGTAAGCTATGTGGCAGTAATTGGATTAGGAGTGATGCAGTTACATGTGCAAGATGTGCTCAAAGAGATGTTGGTTTTTTGGATGCTGTGCCAGTCCATTGACAGT